CATGGAAAAGCTAGAAAAAGTGAACTAAAATAATGAGTAAATGAAGCTAGTTAGCAAGCCTAAGGAGGGGTGGCTAACCCCTCTACTTTTGGGACTTTAAAACTACATTTTTAGCCTTTGAAAAACTCTGAAGAATAGTAGGAAAAAATTGAAAAAAAAAAATGGGAAACACAAGGGCAAAAGCTTGGAAAATAAGGTTAAAAAAAGGGTGGTTTACCCCTCTACCTTTGATAGCTTTAAGCCACAAGTTTTAACTCATAAAAATAGTGGAAAAACAGTCCAAAAACAGCAAGTAGAGCTAGGAAAGAAGTAGTGTAAAGAACTAGAAGCTATACCTTTTGAAGAGAAGTAACACTTTGATTCACAAACTAACAATTTCTCACCCTCAAATGCTAAAATTCAAGCTCAAGAACCTCAGTAAGGAGCCTAAAAATTTGGTTTAGAGAGTATAGGTAGGGTGCATATAGGTTGCAAGGTAGAGAGAGAGAGAGAGAGAGAGATATTTTCAAGAATTTTGCACTTCACAAATTTTTCTAATCTAAAAACATAAGGTATGGCTCTCTATATATAGAACAACTGGATGATATCTCTCGGAAATATCTGTAACAACCTTGATCCATGATTACTGATTAATCTATGATCACCTAATTATGCTTAATAAGTAATTAAAATGAAATCTCGAATTAATTACATGTGCGTTGCATTATTTGTGTTCCTATGTGTCTATCGTGGAAATATCTATTATGTTTCTATTTTATTCTACAAATTGAAGGCCTTATCGGCATCCGATCATGGAATTGACTTGATTTCTGTGCTAGTTAGGATTTTTAGAACCTTATGGTAAGTTTAATTAAAATTCGATTTGGAACGATTAAGTTAGAATGATTAATGTTCATTTGATTAGCCTTAACTAATCAACACTAATCAAGCCTATATAAGGCTTCTATATGTGTGCCACCAGTCATCTTTCCTCTTCATTACACCCTTGAGCCTACATAAACACAAAACATGTGAGAGAGAGAAGAGGAGGAAGTTGAGACCAAGCAAGGGAATTGCTAGCATTTGGGAAGGAACCTTGGACATTTGGCCTCCAAGCTAAAAGAAATTAGTATTTTAGAGCTTAATTGAACATCTAAGGTAAGAATTCAACCCTTAGTCTTGAGTTTAAGTTATTCAATGCATGAATTCTAGAGAAGTAAGCTAAGTTAAGCATGAATTGAGCTAAGGAAGTAGAAAAGAAGAGCATTCCATTACATGCATGTGCATTTCATGGATTTTGATGTTGGTTTTGAAAGAATTTTCTCATGCATGCCATATTTCTAGCTTGGTTCTAAGAATTTAGCACATTTCCTACCAATTGATCTTAATTGATCATGTTTTGAAAGGTTTAAGTTCAAGACATTGCATGCATATCTTGTTTCTTAAGATTCAAGTTGGATTGGTACAATTGGCATGCTTTTAAGCCTTGCTTTTGCAAAAATTGCTTTCAATTCATGAAGTTTTACGAGTTTATATCTGATTTCTCACTTTTGGGTTCAAAAGAATAAGTTTTGGAAGGTTAAAGTTGAGTTTGGAAACTTGGGAGCAAATTTAGAAATTCCAGAATTCTGTTTCTCCGCTTAAGCGATGGATCCTGCGCTCGAGCGACCACCTTTGTTTTGCATTTCCGCTCGAGCGACCAAAAATTGGCTCGAGCGTGAAATGCAAGCTCCCAGAAGTTTCATGTTTTGCAGACCTCTCGAGCGGCAGAAGTTGCGCTCGGGCAAAGACCTGAGTTTCACGCTCGAGCGAGAGTCGAGCGAGTGGTGAGTGGAAAAATCAAGCTACCAATACTTTTGCAAAGTTTATGGACCGCTCGAGTGACAGAAGTTGCGCTTGAGCGACTACTCATATTTTGCATGTCCGCTCAAGCGGGACCATTGTTTTCAATAAGTTATGTTAAGTGTTTTCAAGTGCATTTTAGCATCTTCATTGTATCTTAGACATTCCTAGGCCGAGATTAAGACATAATAATGAGGATAAAAAGTAGAAACACACCAAGATAAGAAAGAACTAAGTTAATGATTCTGGGTGTGTAATTTAGTACGTATTCATTCTGTATCTGTGTAGGTCACGCGCCACAAGATATCTGATTTGCCTACTCCATTTGTTTGCTTTGGAGCCAATTGTGAGTAATAACTTAGTAAAGTTATGTTTAACTTTATTTATTTTCTATATATGGAATAAGATCTTTTTTATGACATGTTATATGTTCTGTACAATGAATGATTGTCCAATTTCTGACAAGTATTCGTGGCAACAATTCCGTGGCTCAAGTAAGTTATCTGTTCTTGGTATGGAGGTTCCTTTATGGAATTGACAAGTTATCTGTACCCAGCCGGAGATTCCTTTATGGAACTGACAAGTTATCCATACCTGGTCTGGAAGTTCCTTTATGGAACTAACAAGTATGATCTTCAATGCTCTGTATGTGATCTGTTAGTGCCAACGGATGTAAGATTAAGTATGAATTATGATTTCTGTCATTGACTTGAACAAGAATATGAATATGAACCTGTTTCTGTGAATTGATTTAGTTATGGGACATCATTCATTTACCATTTTACTCTGTTATTATTCATTGAGCTTCACTCACTATTCATATATGTATATAGGTGACCAGACGTGTGACAAAACCCAGAATTGATGACCTGGAGTTTCTGTTTTGTCAGCCAGTTGTTGTGCCTCCCGAAAAGGTTCCCTTTTGTGAACAACTCGATTTTATGTGGCATACGTTTGAGACTTAGTTTCTTTTGGAACATGAAATGGTTTTTAGTTTATGTGTTACAGGGCTAAGCCCCCATTTTGTCATATTTGTACTGAATTTGATGTGGATACTGTAATTATGACGTCACGCTTATGTAAATGAAGTTTTTTTTTTTTTTTTTGTGGAATTTTCTATCCCATGTATGTCAACACAGCTCAATGGACTACGTATATATTGTATATTTGCTTTTGCAGCCCCTAATTATATATTAATTTGTTCAGAGGCCTTTGGTAATCCAAAGATTACTGGTTGGTTACGACGCTAAACCTATAGGTGCGGGTTTGGATCGTGACAATATCTGTATTGAGCCAACTGGTACAGTGCATGCACATGGGGAGACAGCTGGCAGTAAATATCTGCTCTACTGGAACACCTGGCCAACTGGCCACTAATTTTTGGCCAGCGGCTACTAGTTAACGTTTAGGCCTCTGAGTGGTCAGGTTTGGAAAAATTCTGTTTTGGTCCAAAAGTTGTTCAAGGTTTTTAGGTTTTTGAGACTCAAAACCGAGGCTTCTTGTTGAGGAAATCGAGCGTTTGTACAGCGTACAAATTCATCATTGGGTGATTAATCGGAGGCACCCAAGTCTTAAGGCGGTAAAAAATGGGATGTCTATATGTTGTGAACTACAGAATGTACAAGGTATGTCCGTTTGTGGGATGCTAAATATAATGGGTCTATATGATTTTGGCAATAAATGTAAAGATGCTTTAATTTTGTTCGGTAGTGGCTATCTGCACGATTTGATTTTGTTTTGCAATAGGGCTCTGAACTATTTGGTTTTCTTTAGTTTTGGTGTACTGAACAAAATCCAAATTCGATTCGAAGTCGTAATAAAATAAAGAAATTAATTATTTCACTTTTTTGCTAGTTATATTCATCATAATTTCTTTATCCATTGCCTTCTTATGTTGATCAAAATACTAAGATTCACACTTTTGTAATGAAATATGCAATAGAGAATATAAATTAAGAAAGGAATAAGAGAAATATGGTTTAAAGTGGAGTGGATGTAAAGAGATATTCAAATCTTTTTGTTTTTTGTTTTTTGTCTTTTGCTCTTGAAGGTAATTTTGCACATGGGTAAAATTAGAATATATTTTTTTTTTTAAAATGACGGATGTAATAAGTTAGACCCGTTGTGTAAGTATAATTACCCTTTAATCCTTTCTCATTACACTTTCAATAATACCAAACTTACTTTTATCTTTCCAAAACCCAAACCATAGCCTTCACTTCCAGTTACTACCTTCGGTACCACTGCCGCTTCTTTGGGCAACCAACCCACAACTTCTTTGTCACTAACGACCACCCTCCCCTCCACGTTTGACCAATGCATCCATCATCACCCTCTTCTCCTTTTTATTTTTCTTATTTATTTTTTTATATATGAAAATCTCTCCAGATCTCTCTTCCACTTACTTTCAGGGGGCTGAAGGAAGGTAGTGCCGGTTTGCAATTAGGGTAGGTTTGAGAAGTGTAACGGGAGACAGAATTCAAAGCATGACTATGTTGTAATGTAGTAAGAGACAATGACGAGAGATGACATGAGAGAAGAGGGAGAGAGGGCGACAATGGACTACGGGAGACAAGAAGCATAAAGGGCGACGATGAGCTACAAAGGGGGACACTGTAGAAAGAAAGGGGTTAGAGAGAGAAATTTCTAGTGGGTTGTGGCACTGGAGATGGTGGAAGTAGCAAAATGACTTGCCAAGATGACAAATGAGGGTCACACAATCACAATGGTGACAATTGCAAAGATTGTGGTGAATAGATAAGTGTAGTAAAAAATTAGAATTAGTGGTTTGAAACTTTTTTTAATAAATTTGAAAAGAGACAAAAGTGTAATAGTAAAATTAAAAATTTAGGATGTAACAAGCCCTATGCAACGTGTAAATAAAATTATCCAATTGACATTTCCTAAAAATTTAGGGGTCTTCGTGTAATTTTTAAAAGGATAAATTACAAATATATCTTTGGAGGTTTGTTTAAAATATGAATTGTGTTAAAAAAAAATTACAAATACCCTCTTATTAAAATTTTTTATTTAATAAAATTAATTGAAAAAAATAAAATTCTTAACCATTCTGCTATATAATAATAAAATTATCAAAATTATTAATTAAAATAAAAATTTAACATTATTAAAAAAATTTGATTAGTTTGATAATTTATTTAGAAAGAATAAATGAAATTAAAAACTTTATCTTGAAATGTAATTTCCAAAACGAAGAGACAATTAGGCTCCACCAACAGTTCGGACACCGCTCATCCACTTCTCAGATAGCTGCCGCTCGAAGTCGAAGGTAACATGCTCTCTCTCTCGATGTTTGGTTGCTGAGAAAAAAACAGGGAAAGTAAAAGAGAAATCAGTTTCGATGTTTGTTTTGTACTGCCTTCGTGCAATGAGTGAGGGAAGATGCTTGAAAATGGCTTAATTTGTTTAGCATTTTCTGCGCATTTTCTTCTATTTTCCAACGAAAAGTCAAGAATCCAAAATGACATAGAGGAGGATGGGGATATGGAAATTCATATAATCTGTTAGCGTACTAAAACCAGGAAAAAAAAAAGTAAATTTACTTTTATTAAAAAATACAATTACAATAAATATTTTCTTGGCAGGCAAACATAGCATTAAAAGACTAAGAAACTCTAGAGACTTTGTTGAGATTCACACGATAAATACTGATAAGAATTTTTATTTCATAATTCTCAGTTTCTTCCAAAGTGTTGGTTGATTTTCGAATTAATTCCTGCATGCTGATATTAAGACGATATTTGGAACTTGGGATTGGTGAGAAAAAGGAAGAGAAAAGAAAAGTGAGAAGGACTGTTTTGGCTTTTTATGTAATAAGTGCAAAAAAGTAGAGAGAATAGTTCACTTTTTGGTATTGAATTTTTGTCTAAAAAAGCTAGATCCCAAACTTTACTTTGGAAAAAGTTATATTAAAAATAAAATAACATTGTACGCTTGATAACAATTTACCCCCTCAGCTAGGGTTGTTGTCACTTGACCCTTTCAACTAAAATTGTTACATTTTGGCTCCTCAATATTCTGATTTGTTTGAATCTCAACCTTTGTTAACATTTTGCTATGAAAAGAGAATGAAAAAGTAGGATAGGACCTGTACATGTCAATTTTATGACAATGATGTTCATTCAAGAGGTGGTTTTACCTAACCATATATGTGAGAGATAGGTATATATTTTCTCATTTGGTCATAAAATTGGCACATGCATATATTTTCTCTCACATATTTTTTCATAAGAGAGGAAGATATATACATACAACCACTTACGTATATGTAAAAATAATCAGCCCTTGAATGAGTATTTTGGTCGTAAAATTAGTATGCACATTGTTACATATCTCTTACATATATCATTGTGCATTCTTCAACTTTGTTGCATTCTAGAGTTGAGTCCTTAAGCAGAGGGCCAGCAATGGTACCCATTCTTGTTTTCACGTTAGTGATTTTTTTTTATTTTTTATTTATAATAGATCAACATTCATTTGATACAATTGATTATTGTCTAACATTGCTACTTTTGGGGCAAGTATTTATTTTTCTCCTTATATTGTGTGGTGCGTGCGTGCGTGCTTGTGATGAAATGTTGGTTCTATGCAGAGTACTTATTTGACAAACAAGACAAGAAGAAATGAGTCAACTCCTGAATCTATTCCAAGGAACTCTCTTCAGTAATAATTCAAGTTTCTATAGTTGTCCTTCCAGTTCACTTATGTTTCTTCAACATAAACCATGTTTATATAATGGAAAATATGCACCTTTTCGGAGATATCGAAGAAATCATTTTTCGTTGCAAGGTAACTCCTCAAAACTGACTGACCAATTCTTGATTCTTGAAAACTTTATTAATTTTGCTTTGTTACCCTTGTTAAGTTTTCTAATTGACTTCTCAGCGCGTTGTTGGGAGATGCTAGATCATGCTGAAACATTTGCACTTCCATATAAGGTGATCTCATTTTGTTCTACTGGTTTACTTCACAATGATATTCTATCCTTTGCTTTTAAAAGCTAATTTACAAGTTGAGTCTAACCTGTTAAAAGTGAACCATCTTCCAAGCCTAACTTGCATAAGGCTCAACTCCTGCTACTTTTTTTTTCTCTTTTGTTTTGGTGATAGATTAAATATATTTGAGAAAAAACACGAATAACTGCAGTATTCAAACCATGTATAATTAAAATATACAAAGAGAAGGTAAAGGAGAACTCCAAAAAAGAAAAGAAAATAAGGAAAATGCTGCACTGAACAATTTGATCCAAATGCATCAATACCTTAAACTATACTGAGGATAGCCCGCTTGCTATTCTTGCTCCCTGACACTAGAGTAAGGGCAGTTAGTTGCGCACTTATTACATATGTATAGGCAAACTAGTGCACACAACTTTCATCATCTGGTCACCAATTGCCGTTGCCATTTATGTGTTTGATGGAAAACATGGTTTTATGTTTAAGTGTTGATAAAATATATGGCTTTGTTCTGATTAATGATTTATGTTTTTATATAATTGACTACAGTTATATCAGGTTTACTATGATTTCAAGTATGTTTAGTTAAAGCAAAGCAATTGATTGATGTTAGTCATTTTTGTGTTTTGACAGTATTCTAATGAAAAAACATTAAGTACCATGCATCGCAATGAAAGAGAATTATGCAGGAAATCAATATTATATTTTCAAAGTTTTGTTGTTTGACAGATTATGCTGTTGCATGGGCTGTTCCCTTATGTGCTTGCAACAATTTATGTGCATATCTGTTCCCTTTTGAAGGGTGGTTTGGGTTGGACCTTTTATTGATTCTTTGAAAGATTGTAATTTCAAGTTTTGGTTTCACGAGTGTATATCCTATTTGTCTGTTGCCTACTTCCTCTTTCTATCTTGCAATAAACTCTTCACGAAGTGAGAATAAATTAATGTGCATAGTCTATTCCCTCCATGGGTACACACGACTGTTTGATTCGGAATCAACAGCACTATTCCTTTGTTTTTGATGGACTGTCAGGTCACTTAATAGTTAGTACTACAATGTGCAATTAGGTTTTTGTGTTCATGTTTTATTGGTTGTCGGTTCGAGCACCTTAGTCCATCGCAATCAATGATGCTTTATGTCGGTTGTTTGTTACTTGTGATATTGGCTCTTCTATTTTATTAATTCTCATCCAGGTCCCCTTTTTCTGAAGGAAAAAGCTTGTGATGACGCAGAATTGGATGCCTTTCCAGATGTACAAACTCTTAGAAATTTTCCTAAGGAAGAGCTTCTTGGAAAAATTGTATTGGTCAGATTTGATTCTAGAATCCTACTTCGTGAAGAGCTGGACCAGCAGTCTCCATCTGTCAGCAGTGCACTTTGCACTATTAAATACTTATACGATGCTGGGGCTAAAGTAATTTTAGTTAGTAATTGGAGTGTGAAAAACAATACAAAGCTTCTTGCAGCAGAATCTGTTGCAGGTACATTTGTGTAAAACCACATGTAATATTCGATTGTTAGTTCATGGTGGTTTTTCGAATAGATTATTCACTTGAAGTTTACTTAACATGGTTTTTAACGAAATAGGTTGTTGATTATTGAGTAATACCAAAAAACTAAAAAATAAAAACTCACATCAGATAGGTACTTTTTTTTTTGGGGATAGGTTCACATCAGACAGGTAATATTCGAATTGTCAAAATTTATTTCAGGCTTCCAGCATATATGATCCTGTTGTTTTTGTTTACCTAATACAATAACTATAATGTCAATGGGAAAATTAAAGAGAAGAAAGTGATGAAAGCATATCTTTTGCATCTGACCTCTACATGAAGAGTTGTGAGCTGTCTTACTATTGCTATGCGCTCAATGTCTCAGAGTTTCTGTCTGCGGTTCTCCAACTTAAAGTTGCACCAGCAAAACTTGTCTCTGGCAGCATGCAGTCCAAAATGGAAGACAAAGAGAAAACTGATATTCTTCTTCTCGAAAATCTCTCTGAGTTCAGAGAGGAACTTGCCAATTGTTCAAAGTTTGCTGAACTATTATCAACAGGAATCGATATCTTTGCTAATGATGCATTTTCCCAATCTCATAGAATTCATGCCTCAACTGTTGCTATTACTCGCTTCTGCTATGCATGTGTTGCTGGTTTTCATTTTGAAGAGGGCCTGTGTCAAGTAAAGAAGGCCATCAAAACCAACAAAAAACAATTTATTGCCATTGTATGTCTCTAGCATTTTTATGCATTAACGTTGATTTTTTTTAAAAGTCTATATATTCACTATATGAATCTTTGGGCTTATATTCATTGACTTTGTGAGTCTCTCATGACTAATACTCTGCAATGGATGCCAGATTGGAGGGGGTAAACTGTTAGAAAAAGCAGCTGCCTTACATTGTTTAGCTGCTAGATGTGATGGTTTGGTGTTTGTTGGAATGATGGCATTTCAAATAATGCATGCCCAAGGATTGCCTGTTCCTAAGAAGTTGGTAGAACGCGGAGCAATTAAAGAAGCTTTAAATTTAACTCAGTTTGCAAAGTTTAAAAGTATGCCAATTTTATTTCCAAAAGATTTTTGGTGCATCAATGATCATCTCCCAAAACGAATTGAACTATTTCCTGCTCATAATATTTTGGATGGTAAGGTTGGATCTTTTCAACTTTTAATGTGACAAACACTGTCCTCCATTTTGATGAATTAATTATCAAGCATCGATGGTTCTTTTGAAACTTTTCTGTGTGCTAGGAATTTAAATACTTTTCGTGTTAAATTATTAAAATTGCACGTCTTAATCTGACTGGTTGAGCAACCTTGAGCTACTACCATGTGGCTTTGATTATCATAAAAATGTGTAGGTTTTGTGGTTTTTACACTAATCATACACCAGTGTTTTATTGTTAAGTAGAAGATTAATAGCTATCCTCTTTACTATTTTTGTTTTTATTAATATTATTCTAGCAATTGAATTTGGGTTGGATATTTTGATTTGATAAAATCGGTCTATTCATTGAAATTGCATTCATAAAGAAGTTTGACGAATCCAATAATGGTGAAGGTAGTTTACTTAGACTATAGTGTTGAATAATCACGGTTGTATTCCACATAAAATGGTAAAAGGGACAGAGGTTTTGGGTTTTAAACGTGCATTTTTTGGGGCTGTGAACAGTAACTTGATAACACTTCTAAGATTTCTTGTTAAATGAAGAGAAGAAAGAGAGGAAGAAGAAGTGGTTTGCCCTTGCAAGGGTTAAGCAAATTCACACAAGGACACAAACATAATCGCAAATGTTCATAAACTCAACTCCATAGAATAGAAGAATTACATGGATATTTATAGGCCACTAGATTTTTCATAATTCTACTAGGAATACAACTCAAAATAACGAAATTAAAAAAATTAACTTACTAAATTAATATTGGTCTAATAAAGATTCCCTGTAAAACCCAATAACATAACGTGTGTGGTAATTTGACCTATGGGTGACCTCGACAACCATGTCTAGAAAATTTAAAGTTAACAAAATAATGTTGATTGCTAAGACCAATAATATGTAAAAATATTTTTCCAGCAGCATACTAAATTAAAATAAACACGAATAAGGACGCAATATTACCCAAAACATGATAATATAAAGCCCTAAATGTGCTCCATGTAATATTCCAGATTTTCCCTTTTTTGTTGTCATGCTCTACTTCACATTGTTTTATGATTGCAGACTAGTTAACCAATGGATAGCCCCTTGGATAGTTGGATTTTTAATTTATAGTTCAAGAAACTCATTTTTCTTGTGGTGTCCTGTGTATGAAATTATGCAGATATCCATGTCCCTTCTGGTTTCTATTTCTTTCTTGGCATGCCATATTTGCTCACATGAGCTTTCTGGTCATTGTTTGACCTTGTTGCCTGTATCGGTCATCTCAATTGTTTTTCTTATTTATAATTTTATCTCCTGTTAGATTATTCTAGGATTTTTCAGATGGTTTATCTCTAGTACCTTATTCCCTAGTTTTATTTAGTTTTCTTATAAGAATTGTAACTGCTTCTCTAAAATTAAATGGTGTGTGACCTCTGGAAATGCACTCTTGTTCTTGTCCCTCTCCTCAACTTCTATTTGCAAGCATTCACCTACTGGCTCACTACTCATGTCTGATCAAGATGAAGTACCAAAATGAATGAGTCATATAACAGCTGGTCCACTAGTGAGCACGGTCCAAAAAGTCTGTTAATGCAATCGTTTGTGATGCTTGATCTTGCTATTTTGGGTTCGTTAGTAATATTCCAAGAGTTTGTTCCAATTATCAAATGTCATGTATTTCACTTATTTTGCCTGGATAGTAATATTGGTGTTTCTCTCTTCTTTTGTGGCATTATTAAAATATGCTTGATGATGTACTTATATTTCTAAATGCACTAACTAGCCAATGACCTGTATGAAGCTTGGATATAACACAACAAAACTAACTAAAAAGCTTTTGTGAGGGTGAATAATCAGATTGTTACTAATTCCTTGCATTTGATATTACCATTCCTTTTTGTCTTCTGACATTGTATAGTTTCAATAGATATTAATTTGTTTCTTTGATATCCATATTCTTTCCTTTAGGGTGGGTACCTGTTGATATTGGGCCAAAGTCTTTGGACGAAATTTCTTCCTTGCTTTCAGAATGCAAGGTAAGCTATGAACTTAAAATGTATAGGTTATGGCATAAAAATTACTATCAGCTGAACTATGTTCTTCATTTGATTTTGGTATGTTATGCAACATTGCCAACATGTCAGAAGGTTTAGTAGTTTAGTATTTTATGTGTAAAACAACTAATTCATCCATGAACAATCAAAGAATTAAGGTTCTTGCTACTGGAAATAATATCTCTATCTCAAAATAGTAGTTACAACTTTAGCTTAGCTGAACATTTTTTTTCGTTTGATTTTTTTATGCAGCATTGGCAACATTTCAGAAGGATTAGTATTTATGTGTAAAACAATTAATTCATTCATGAACAATCAAATAATTAAGGTTCTTTTAACTGGAAATAATATCACTATCAAGATAATACTTACAACTTTGGCTTCTCTGTATCGTTATACTGGAGCCTGTAATCTTTTGAATTCATGCTCATTGTCTGTCACTATGATTCCTCAGTTGACAGTTGACATGCATGCAATGAAAATGGTCATTATTTCCCCCTTCTAAATGATAAAGTTCATTTTCTATTCACTCTGTTTCTGTTACAACATATGATTAAATAGAATTTATTGTTTCCTTTGAAATGGTAAAAGCTGAAAAACGAAATTATAGGCTGTAGAAAAGATAATAATAATGAGTTCAACAATAGTAATATTAAATGTATATTTGTTATTTATTTATGGGGTGCAGAAAAATGTAATGCACCATCTACTTGTGGAACTTTTTCTACGCTCTCTCTTCGTGATGTGCTCTTTTTATTTATATTTTTACATGATCTGTGTTTTGAAGTCAATTAAATCTTAGCTAGAATCATTCTTTGTTTTTTTGTTAAAGGGAATATTGAAATTTAAATTCTTTGATTTCTTTTCTTATGGACATATATTGTTTGATGATAACATGTTCTTTGGATATCTTTGGCCACATAAATTTATAACAAATGTGAACTCATGATGTCTTACAGAAACTTCTTGGACTTCTTTGGCTGCATTCATTTCTAACAAATGTGAACCCATGATGTCTTCCAGAAAATTTTATGGATTGGTCCAGTGAAATTTGGTTTGTCAAGTCAGGACACCAGTGGAGCATCTAAATTGGCGACAATGCTTGATAAACTAAATCAAAGAAATTGTGATATTACTGTTGTTGGGAATATGGCTTGTGAAGCTCTTACAAGTGTGTCTACTTCTTTCTCAAGTCATAATATGGTTGACAATGCTTCAGTCTTGTGGGACATTCTCAAAGGAAGAAAGCTTCCAGGGCTCATGGCCTTAGATAGAGTATGCATTTTATATTTTCGATTAAGCTGCAGCAGAAAAAAAAGAAAATATATTTCTTAAATCAGGATAATGTTTATTTTTTATTTTTTATTTATAAATAATAGAGGATATTATGTTATTTTTATACTTCTTGATATGATTATTGTGAGCCCAAGTGTTGAGCCCACCATCTCCCAAATTTCACCAATGGGATTTGTAGGATCAAGTTTGGGATTTCCAAGCGATTTTGCTTCCAAATTGTGATATAACTGTTGTTGGACCCACCATCTCCCAAATTTCCCAAAGATAGTTTTGGTAACAAGGACTCAACTAATCTCTTTTTACACTAATGGCCTCACTTCTATGTCATTATCATTTTCGTGATGTCTTCATTTTACTCTACGAATTTGCTTATTCAATTGTTATCTAAATCGATGGACTAGTTCAAGTTTGTTGAAATAGTAAGTGTGCATGTTTTAAAGAGTCAATCAACTTCACGCACGTGATAAATCCCTTGCACTCCTGTTTTTTCTTCAAAAAGTCATACTTTTAAAGAGTCAATCAACTTCACGCACGTGATAAATCCCTTGCACTCCTGTTTTTTCTTCAAAAAGTCATACTTAATGCAAAAGGCTTCTGCTTACAACAGAGTCTAGAGGAGATGGTAGGCAGCTTTACGCCCACTTCCTCTTCTTCTTCTTTATATTTTATTTTTGAGACACTGATTCTCATGACTTGAACCTGTGCTACTGGGCTATGGGAAGATAGCACTTTCGATCATGCCAGGTCACTACCTCTATTTTTTTATATTTTATAAATTGATATTGTGTAAGACTTGCTACATTTTTGTGGAAACTGATGACACTACCTGCCTACCTAGTTAAACTGTTCATTCTGGACAGGAGAAAATATAAATATGAAAAATCTTTGGGGGAAGGACTATTATAATTGGAGTTACATGCTATTAATAAGTCTTGCATCTCTCTGAGTCTGCTGAAGGCTGATAAATGTTATCTGATGTAATTTTTTACAATCTGATAACTATATGATCTAAGTTTTATACACTGTTGCCTAATATCTATTTTGGATACTGATCAAAATATTAATTTTACTATTGTTGGCATTGGATTACCTTTTAGTAATCAATTGTGCAGGCATATCCGTTTGTGATTGATTGGAATGCTACTTATACTGATCCAGCTCATCCTTTGGTCGTGGACATTGGAAGTGGTATTTCTTGTGATTTGTCTACGTATTGTATTTTTCTATAACAATCTATTCAATATTCACATGTTAGTTCTGCTATTTCAAGTTAATTTATCCTTGTTTATGATGAGAGAGAGATAGAGAGGTTAACTATGCTCTGACAATTTATCTGGTTGCTATTTGCCAAGGACACTCTTTTTTGTGTTTATTATTGTTATTCATTTTCTAACTAGACATAGACCATGTATTGTTTGCACCTATAAAGAGCAGTTCAGTCATTGGCAACTTCCTAAGATTTTGAATTGTAAATGACAGGGAATGGATTATTTCTGTTCAGAATGGCTAGGAGGAGGAAGGATCTGAATTTTCTCGGCTTAGAGATAAATGAAAAGGTCGTTTGGTTTTATACATATATTTTTGCATCCTTGGCTATCTTAAGTTTTGGAGTTAATTGTTTTCTTAATGCTCACCATCTTTTCAGCTTGTAAGTCGTTGTCTAGCCTATGTTCATCAATCTGGCATGAAGAATGGGTATGTGTTCTGTTGCCTTTTTTAATGCTGCTAACAGATTATGAACTCATGACATAGCATAATTTTTTCAGTTGCTGTTACTTTTCATTTGTTCCTGACTTGGATAAATCGATTTGGGTATCTTGAAATGAATGTCTTGTACCGAAGTCCAAATTGTAATCATTTGGCTAATATTTTTATGTGATTTGTAAATGATTGTTTATAAATGCCTAGCTGTTGATCCAACTTTTGCTTCTCTTCTAGCGTCCCTCCCCCCTCTCTCTGCCCCTGCCTCTTGTTTTGCTGTTCCTTTTTTTTTTTTTCCTCCTCTGGGCAGGGAAAAGTAGCAAGGTGGATAAAAATTAGTAATAGAGTTGTCTCTCAGTTGGGTTCTTAGGTTATAGCTGATCACAAGTTTTTTGTTTTTTTTTTGTTTTTTTGTTTTTGGTTTTATCACGAGTTTGTTGTATTATGGTCTTCCTCTTAAATGTTGTTGGTTGAAATAACAAGCATGGTGACAGAATTTGTTGGTAATTTGTTAACCCCTCCTGTCTGTTTTACCCATAAAGGACTGCATGTTTCTTGAAGTAATACGACTTTTGAGTTTGTATTCTATGTGATTGTTTTCATCAACTTCCTAGGGTATTTAATAATGCTTATGATTTTCATTGTTCAATTAAGGACTAGTCTTGTTTCTGTTGGTCAGCAATGCATCTTAGTCATGTCATTCTGTGTTTGTCTTTTTTAGATATTTCATTGCAGCAAACGCAACATCAACTTTTCGATCGATAGTTTCCAGTTACCCAGGGAAGCTGGTTCTTGTATCAATACAGGTAATAGTACAGAAGTGCCACATATGTTCTCAATTTTCTATACATGCTTCTTTTGATGGTAGTCCTGGATTCATGTTGTTGTGCCTATTAGATGCTTCCTACATGTTAGAGCATGGGGAGATTGTTGGAGCATGTGTGAAGGTAGGGTCTCACATCGGATAAAGAGTGAAAATAGATAGGTTTAAATATACATTAGATGGGCTCTCCACATATAGGCTTAAGCTTTTAAATGGGTATGAGTTTCAAATAATGTATGTTGGGTCCTGATGTTAACCATGTGGGCTCTGGAATTTATCCCTGATGAATTGGGCTGGTGTTGTTGTGCGCTTGTAAGCTTCATAATTCCCTAACAACTGGTATCAGAGCCGATGGTAGACGATTTATGGGCGGACTCTCTTGGAGCATTGATGTTGGTGGACTTGGGCTTGCACGGAAAACTCTTCTTGATGGAGCAAAATTCCTGGTGCACGTGGAGGTTGGACGACAAGGTGACTCTCAATGGAGTATGGTGGCTTACGATGGAGTGTGTGTGGGTGGTCCAAGCTGGACTCGATATTGGAGAGTTATAGTCTTATAGATCAATATTAAAGGAGAGTGTGTATGATCTATGATGAATCTGATAATAGATCAAACCAAAAGTCGAGCAAGGCAAGACCTAATGTTTGGTTCACACATGAAGGGGAGATTGTTAGAGCATGGGGAGATTGTTGGAGTATGTGTGAAGGTAGAGTCCCACATCGGATAAAGAGTAAAAACATATGGGTCTTAATATACATTAGATGGGCTCTCCAATTATAGGCTTAATATTTTAAGTGGGTATGAGTTCCAAATAATGTATGTTGGGCCCTGATGTTAAGCATGTGGGCTTTGGAATTTATCCATGATGAATTGAGCCAGTATTGTTATGTGCTTGTGGGCTCCCTAATTCCCTAACAATACACACTGTTGCCAACTCAACAAATACTTTGGCTGCTCTTTGTTAGTTGTCTAGGAGATTGATCAGATTTATGGCTTAGATTTATGTACAGGAGATCAATCTAAAATCACATCATTATGTATAATAATTCATCACCTACCACACACTCACCTACTACACTCACCTACCACCACCATCCACTACACCTACATCTATATAAGGAACCATTTGTAATAGACAGAATATCAACAATACATCAATCAATAATACATCAGTTTGTTTACAAATACTTGTGTTTCTCTCCTCTTTTGTGGCATTATTAAAATATGCTTGATGATGTACTTATATTTCTAAATGCACTAACTAGTCAATGACCTGTATGAAGCTTGGATATAACACAACAAAACTAACTAAAAAGCTTTTGTGAGGGTGAATAATCAGATTGTTACTAATTCCTTGCATTTGATATTACCATTCCTTTTTGTCTTCTGACATTGTATAGTTTCAATAGATATTAATTTGTTTCTTTGATATCCATATTCTTTCCTTTAGGGTGGGTACCTGTTGATATTGGGCCAAAGTCTTTGGACGAAATTTCTTCCTTGCTTTCAGAATGCAAGGTAAGCTATGAACTTAAAATGTATAGGTTATGGCATAAAAATTACTATCAGCTGAACTATGTTCTTCATTTGATTTTGGTATGTTATGCAACATTGCCAACATGTCAGAAGGTTTAGTAGTTTAGTATTTTATGTGTAAAACAACTAATTCATCCATGAACAATCAAAGAATTAAGGTTCTTGCTACTGGAAATAATATCTCTATCTCAAAATAGTAGTTACAACTTTAGCTTAGCTGAACATTTTTTTTCATTTGATTTTTTTATGCAGCATTGGCAACATTTCAGAAGGATTAGTATTTATGTGTAAAACAATTCATTCATTCATGAACAATCAAATAATTAAGGTTCTTTTAACTGGAAATAATATCACTATCTCAAGATAATACTTACAACTTTAGCTTCTCTGTATCGTTATACTGGAGCCTGTAATCTTTTGAATTCATGCTCATCGTCTGTCACTATGATTCCTCAGTTGACGGTTGACATGCATGCAATGAAAAATGATCATCATTTCCCCCTTCTAAATGATAAAGTTCATTTTCTATTCACTCTGTTTCTGTTACAACATATGATTAAATACAATTTATTGTTTTCTTTGAAATGGTAAAAGCTGAAAAACGAAATTATAGGCTGTAGAAAAGATAATAATAATGAGTTCAACAATAGTAATATTAATTGTATATTTGTTATTTATTTGTGGGGTGCAGAAAAATGTAATGCACCATCTACTTGTGGAACTTTTTCTACGCTCTCTCTCCTTGATGTGCTCTTTTTATTTATATTTTTATATGATCTGTGTTTTGAAGTCAATTAAATCTTAGCTAGAATCATTCTTTGTTTTTTTGTTAAAGGGAATATTGAAATTTAAATTCTTTGATTTCTTTTCTTATGGACATATATTGTTTGATGATAACATGTTCTTTGGATATCTTTGGCCACATAAATTTATAACAAATGTGAACTCATGATGTCTTACAGAAACTTCTTGGACTTCTTTGGCTGCATTCATTTCTAACAAATGTGAACCCATGATGTCTTCCAGAAAATTTTATGGATTGGTCCAGTGAAATTTGGTTTGTCAAGTCAGGACACCAGTGGAGCATCTAAATTGGCCACAATGCTTGATAAACTAAATCGAAGAAATTGTGATATAACTGTTGTTGGGAATATGGCTTGTGAAGCTCTTACAAGTGTGTCTACTTCTTTCTCAAGTCATAATATGGTTGACAATGCTTCAGTCTTGTGGGAGATTCTCAAAGGAAGAAAGCTTCCAGGGCTCATGGCCTTAGATAGAGTATGCTTTTTATATTTTCGATTAAGCTGCAGCAGAAAAAAAAGAAAATATATTTCTTAAATCAGGATAATGTTTATTTTTTATTTTTTTATAAATAATAGAGGATATTATGTTATTTTTATACTTCTTGATATGATTATTGTGAGCCCAAGTGTTGAGCCCACCATCTCCCAAATTTCACCAATGGGATTTGTAGGATCAAGTTTGGGATTTCCAAGCGATTTAGCTTCCAAATTGTGATATAACTGTTGTTGGACCCACCATCTCCCAAATTTCCCAAAGATAGTTTTGGTAACAAGGACTCAAATAATCTCTTTTTACACTAATGGCCTCACTTCTATGTCATTATCATTTTCGTGATGTCTTCATTTTACTCTACTAATTTGCTTATTCAATTGTTATCTAAATCGATGGACTAGTGTAAGTTTGTTGAAATAGTAAGTGTGCATGTTTTAAAGAGTCAATCAACTTCACGCACATGATAAATCCCTTGCACTCCTGTTTTTTCTTCAAAAAGTCATACTTAATGCAAAAGGCTTCTGCTTACAACAGAGTCTAGAGGAGATGGTAGGCAGCTTTACTCCCACTTCCTCTTCTTCTTCTTTACATTTTATTTTTGAGACACTGATTCTCATGACTTGAACCTGTGCTACTGGGCTATGGGAAGATAGCACTTTCGATCATGCCAGGTCACTACCTCTATTTTTTTATATTTTATAAATTGATATTGTGTAAGACTTGCTACATTTTTGTGGAAACTGATGACACTACCTGCCTACCTAGTTAAACTGTTCATTCTGGACAGGAGAAAATATAAATATGAAAAATCTTTGGGGGAAGGACTATTATAATTGGAGTTACATGCTATTAATAAGTCTTGCATCTCTCTGAGTCTGCTGAAGGCTGATAAATGTTATCTGATGTAATTTTTTACAATCTGATAACTATATGATCTAAGTTTTATACACTGTTGCCTAATATCTATTTTGGATACTGATCAAAATATTAATTTTACTATTGTTGGCATTGGATTACCTTTTAGTAATCGATTGTGCAGGCATATCCGTTTGTGATTGATTGGAATGCTACTTATACTGATCCAGCTCATCCTTTGGTCGTGGACATTGGAAGTGGTATTTCTTGTGATTTGTCTACGTATTGTATTTTTCTATAACAATCTATTCAATATTCACATGTTAGTTCTGCTATTTCAAGTTAATTTATCCTTGTTTATGATGAGAGAGAGATAGAGAGGTTAACTATGCTCTGACAATTTATCTGGTTGCTATTTGCCAAGGACACTCTTTTTTGTGTTTATTATTGTTATTCATTTTCTAACTAGACATAGACCATGTATTGTTTGCACCTATAAAGAGCAGTTCAGTCATTGGCAACTTCCTAAGATTTTGAATTGTAAATGACAGGGAATGGATTATTTCTGTTCAGAATGGCTAGGAGGAGGAAGGATCTGAATTTTCTGGGCTTAGAGATAAATGAAAAGGTTGTTTGGTTTTATACATATATTTTTCCATCCTCGGCTATCTAATGCTCACCATCTTTTCAGCTTGTAAGTCGTTGTCTAGCCTATGTTCATCAATCTGGCATGAAGAATGGGTATGTGTTCTGTTGCCTTCTTTAATGCTGCTAACAGATTATGAACTCATGACATAGCATAATTTTTTCAGTTGCTGTTACTTTTCATTTGTTCTTGACTTGGATAAATCCATTTGGGTATCTTGAAATGAATGTCTTGTACCGAAGTCCAAATTGTAATCATTTGGCTAATATTTTTATGTGATTTGTAAATGATTGTTGTTAAAATATTTACCATCACCTACCACACACTTACCATCACCTACCACACACTCACCTACTACACTCACCTACTCCTCACCTACCACCACCATCTCCACTTCACATCTCCTATATATAGGAATCAATGTAAACACTACAATTATCAATACAACAATCATCAATCAATAAATACATAAAAATAAAAGAGGGTAGGTGAGGAGTAGGTGAGTGTAGTAGGTGAGTGTGTGGTAGGTGATGGTAAGTGTGTGGTAGGTGATGGTAAATATTTTAACAACCCATCTCCACTTCACATCTCCTATATATAGGAATCAATGTAAACACTACAATTATCAATACAACAATCATCAATCAATAAATACATAAAAATAAAAGAGGGTAGGTGAGGAGTAGGTGAGTGTAGTAGGTGAGTGTGTGGTAGGTGATGGTAAGTGTGTGGTAGGTGATGGTAAATATTTTAACACTATATATAGGAGATGTGAAGTGGAGATGGTGGTGGTAGGTGAGGAGTAGGTGAGTGTAGTAGGTGAGTGTGTGGTAGGTGATGGTAAGTGTGTGGTAGGTGTTGTTGTTTTTTTTTTTTTTCCTCCTCTGGGCAGGGAAAAGTAGCAAGGTGGATAAAAAATAGTAATAGAGTTGTCTCTCAGTTGGGTTCTTAGGTTATAGCTGATCACAAGTTTTTTGTTTTTTTTGTTTTTTTGTTTTTGGTTTTATCACGAGTTTGTTGTTTCATGGTCTTCCTCTTAAATGTTGTTGGTTGAAATAAGAAGCATGGTGACAGAATTTGTTGGTAATTTGTTAACCCCTCCTGTCTGTTTTACCCAGAAAGGACTGCATGTTTCTTGAAGTAATACGACTTTTGAGTTTGTATTCTATGTGATTGTTTTCATCAACTTCCTAGGGTATTTAATAATGCTTATGATTTTCATTGTTCAATTAAGGACTAGTCTTGTTTCTGTTGGTCAGCAATGCATCTTAGTCATCTTAGTCATGTCATTCTGTGTTTGTCTTTTTTAGATATTTCATTGCAGCAAACGCAACATCAACTTTTCGATCGATAGTTTCCAGTTACCCAGGGAAGCTGGTTCTTGTATCAATACAGGTAATAGTACAGAAGTGCCACATATGTTCTCAATTTTCTATACATGCTTCTTTTGATGGTAGTCCTGGATTCATGTTGTTGTGCCTATTAGATGCTTCCTACATGTTAGAGCATGGGGAGATTGTTGGAGCATGTGTGAAGGTAGAGTCTCACATTGGATAAAGAGTAAAAATAGATAGGTTTAAATATACATTAGATGGGCTCTCCACATATAGACTTAAGCTTTTAAATGGATGAGTTTCAAATAATGTATGTTGGGTCCTGATGTTGACCATGTGGGCTCCGGAATTTATCCCTGATGAATTGGGCTGGTGTTGTTGTGCGCTTGTGAGCTTCCTAATTCCCTAACAACTAGTATCAGAGCCGATGGTAGACGATTTATGGGCGGACTCTCTTGAAGCATTGATGTTGGTGGACTTGGGCTTGCACGGAAAACTCTTCTTGATGGAGCAAAGTTCCTAGTGCACGTGGAGGTTGGACGACAAGGTGACTCTCAATGGAGTATGGTGGCTTACGATGGATTGTGTGTGGGTGGTCCAAGCTGGACTCGATATTGGAGAGTTATAGCCTTATAGATCAATATTAAAGGAGAGTGTGTATGATCTATGATGAATCCGATAATAGATCAAACCAAAAGTCGAGCAAGGCAAGACCTAATGTTTGGTTCACACATGAAGGGGAGATTGTTAGAGCATGGGGAGATTGCTGGAGTATGTGTGAAGGTAGAGTCACACATTGGATAAAGAGTAAAAACATATGGGTCTTAATATACATTAGATGGCTCTCCAGTTATAGGCTTAATATTTTAAGTAGGTATGAGTTCCAAATAATGTATGTTGGGGCCCTGATGTTAAGCATGTGGGCTTTGGAATTTATCCATGATGAATTGGGCCGGTATTGTTGTGTGCTTGTGGGCTCCCTAATTCCCTAACAATACACACTGTTGCCCACTCAACAAATACTTTGGCTGCTCTTTGTTAGTTGTATAGGAGATTGATCAGATTTATGGCTTAGATTTATGTACAGGAGATCAATCTAAAATCTCATCATTATGTATACTGGATTAGTAACTGGTGAAACACCAAAAAAAAAAAAAAAACTACACAATTTTCAAATTTATGAATCGCTTCATAGTGTTACAACTTTGACTTGTGATCTGATTCTGATCTAAAAGCTATCCTTCCAAATTATACTAAAAAGTGGATCATCTGTGAATATTTTTCCAAATGTACCAAATAAAATGTTGCATTTACACCATAATTTTATCCACCTATTCAAACTGCCAAAATATGCCAGAAGAAGAATCTGGTCAAGTCACTCTGATGGCCCATCTAAGTTGGTTGAAGTAGCTGTGATATTTTCTGACCTCTCTTAATCCAAACTCACCATTGAATTCCTAGCAGCTTAATCTACTGATCAATTTGTTGGCTAGTCGGGGAGAATTGGCCTCATTCTTCTTATGAAATTTTGTTTGGGTTATTGACTAGATAGGTGACATGTACTATTAATGAAAAATATCTGTTCAATTATTGCTTAACAGGAGACTAAAAAGTAGAATGTGATGTTGATGAATTTATATATCAAGAACAACAAGGTTTACTCACGCCAAATATTTTGCATTACTTTTTCTTTGTAAATGAATTTCAAAAATGCTTTACAGTGTTCTTTCAATCTGTTGTGATTCTGGATTTCTGCCCATGAAAGATGATGTATAATCTACAAATGATGATAGGAACAAGGGAGCTTGGAAACTGTTAGCCTTTTTCTTCTTCCCCGCCCCAAGTCATTCTAAGGGTTGTCATAGTTTTTCTGATAGGTTGAGGTTTTTGTGATCTTACATCTAGAGCCTGGCATATTCTTTTTTCTTTTTAGAAAAAGATAAAAGGGCCAATTCAGTAGTTGAAAGAGATCTGTTATGTTTGAGTTGCATTCTTTTTCGCTTTGATTTCTTTTTCCCTCGGATTAGGTCTTTTCTTTTTCAAGTTTTTCAGCAGTTTAACCAACTAGGCCTAGTTTAGTTGGCCACCATGACTTTCCTAAGTGCTTAGTCCCAAGGGGGAGGTCATGGATTCAACTCTCTCTAAGGGGGAGTTGAATTAGGAGGCAAGCACTTGGTGCTTTGCAAAGGTGGGGAGGCTTACTCCTATTGGTGCTAATTTAACAACTAACTTTCGCTAAAAAAAAAAGGTTTTCAGCAGTTTAAAACTGATCTAACGACAAATAGAAGTATGCTTCGTTGATATTTTCTTTTCAGCCTGTTTTCACCTAGTCATGTCTGATTTCTTCTCTTTATCATTATTGCGCTCTCTCTCTCCCCTTCGCTTTTTTGGGTATATTCCCTGTTCATTAGGCATTAGGACTTACAATGTGTCTTAATGGAAGCAAAGTAAGCACAGTTCTTTTTAATGCAGTGCCCAAATCCTGATTTCAACAAACCAGAACATAGGTGGAGCATGCTGCAAAGGTTATTAATTGAAGCAATAGCAGATCTTCTTGCATCTGATGGGAAGGTAAGAAACTATCACTGCTGCTTCGGATAAAAAAATATATATATATATTTTAAAATTTGAACCATGGTTATGTTCTTGTATCAATTCTGTTGTTGTGGAGCTTAAAATCGTAATATTTAGTCGATGCACAATTTCTAGTCCAATATATTTCAGAAGATGCAATTTTGAAGAAGCAGAATTGCACTTCATTTTATGTGTGAACCACTGTTGAGAAGGGGCTTCCATTTTGATCAGGAACATGTGTCCGAATGAGAATGGATTGTGGGTGTCCTTGCCCTTCCTGATCCTTCTTTTTAGGAATCTCCATGCCGCACTTCAATTCAACATGCTGAGAACTTAGTTATACTTTGACCAGGATGTGGATAAAATACTTAGACCATTATGTGGATAACTTTAGATTCTACTTTCTTTCTTTTTTTTTTCCTTGGTGAGCAACAGTATTACATGCAGTGACATGGCTTCTGTGATTGTTAAAAATTTAATCAGTCAAAAAGGGAGAAGCAATGATCAGGTCATAGGCCAGCAAAAGCATATGCCTAATTTGGGTTACTTACACTCTCTGTTTCTTGGAATTCAGGTCTTTCTTCAGTCTGACATAGAAGCAGTAGCAGTGAGAATGAAAGAGCAATTTGTACAATACGGAAAAGGAAAGCTCGCTGTTATGCAGGATCATGGCGATGCCGACATTGGTCAAGGCGGATGGCTGAAAGAGAACCCCTTTGGAGTGTGGTCAGACTGGGAACAGCATGTTATAGATCGTGGGGCTCTGATGTACAGATTATTGCTTTATAAATCAACCAGCAATGAGTGAAGTCACTGGTGTGGTTGATTCATAAAAATTGGCTTCTCTATTTCCAGCCGAAGGGGATATCCTCATGCTTATTATTTCAGAAGCTATTTGTTCCACTGGGGAAGAGGTCTGCACTCTCTACGAGGTATTTGTCTCTTCAAGCCATGTTATTTCTAAGGAAATGTTCTCCTCACTAAGAGATATTACTGGCACTTTTGAATTAATGCCATTGCCACTACACATCATTCTGGAAGAGTTTTCTGCATACAATTTTTTTTTGCAAATCATTTTCCATTCTGTGTTGGCATTTTTAGAAAGGGGTAGTGATATTCACTGCCAAACTTCCTTTTGCTGCTTGAATTACAGTTACTTGAAGGGATTATGGAAGGACATTTATTTATAAACATCGGCAACCATCAGGTAGATGAGTAGTATACTAAAGCCACATTCGATTCTCGGATAAAGGAGGCAGATTTGGATTAAATAATACTGGGATAAAATAGTCCCACATTTGGTTCAAACTTTTTAACGTAGGATAACTAATCCTGAGGGAGCCTATTATCTTGTATGATGCAGGATTATTTTTTCCTGGGGTAGAGGTGGGACAACTTATCCTGAGATAAGACTTTCATTGCAAAATTCTAAAAATTTCTTCCTTGGTCAAGTGACATGAGATGAGCAAGAATCCTACTTGTTCTTCTCTCCCGCCATGCCTATGAATCTTCTAAATTCAGAGCTATCATGACATGGGTATGAATCCAGTTTTGATTATGCATTGCTGAGAGACATGAATCTGTGTAAATTGTTGCAAATTAATTTGATTAACGGTCTCACTTCAAACTTATAAATGCCTCTAGCATGGTTGACCTAGTGTTACTGTGTCAATGATTTGGGAAATCCGGGCTATCCTCTCAGGCATGTGAAAAATTCTATTTGTTGAAGTGTTAGATTTCAATAAAACTACTCACATAACTTTGTGAACAATTTGGTGAATGTGTAGACCACATTCATCCTCACCAAAGTTGTGCACAAGGCAGTGCATGTGGAGTAGTTATTAGATTTTAGCTAATTATATCCTTCAGTTGGTCTTCTTTTTAAGTTGTCCTCGTATCTGTGTGCATATATCCTCACGCAAAATTCCAACTTATCTTCCTTTAACAAGTTGAAACCATCTCAATGAACTTAAATTGTTTCTTATCGGCAACATGAGTAATTGAATATTCTGTTCTTTTCACTACAGCGTTTTTATCAGCTGATTTTCTTTCGCATTTATTTATTTAAATTGTCAGTTTTTTGCTTATATCATAGTCTGCTAACCTCCGGTTGATATTGCTATTTCTTTTAAATATCCTCTAGGCTCTATTTACATAGACCATGAGAAACTTCTTCATCTAATTTTGGCTAGGTGATGATGAGTTACAGATGAGAGTAATCAGAAGTACATGACAAATAGTCTCTTTATGTTGGACATAAATTGTTCATTTGTTCTTTTCATATCTTTTACTCCCTCCGTCCCAAAATATAGTCTCTTATTCCATTTTTCATTGTCCCAAAATATTAGTCATTTTTCAAAAATTAAGAATTAAAATAATATGAATTTTCTATTTTGTCCTTTTTTAAAATTCATTAACAATACAATAAGTACAATTATGACAATTGACATTTCCGAAAAAAATGTACTATCAAAAGGTAATTTTGGAAAATTAATACTTTTACAGTGTAATAGTTGTACTATAAAAAAAAGTTATATTCCCCTAAAGGGATTATTATTTTGGGACGGAGGGATTACGAGGATATACTAATCTTAAAATGATAGTTCGTGAGAAGGTCCAAGGCACATCCACCCCTTCTTCTTCAGAGTCCTGCAAGCAGATTAGTAGAAGGAGTTCTGTGGGATATGGCTAATACTGTTGAGGTTTTATATCTTGATTCACATTATTATCACCTCACTGCTTGGTAGAAGTCGTAATTTCTTGCAAAGTGAAACTAAATGCAGCATTCTCAAATTTTCTGCAGGAATTGTGAATTGGAAGGGCCTATGGATGACAATCCTTCTAATGGAGATCCAATGGATGACAGTCCGTGTGAACCTCCTATGCTGGAAAATTCTTCAAAGGATCTTAATGCGCTTAGAGTCATGTATTGGGTGTCTACTGTTGAACAATTGATAGTTAATTTTCCTGTTTATATACTGTTTGGGCTTTTGTTGTCAACAAATCCTAGAATTATGAACCTTAGGTATAAGTTCCACATTTTATGCTGTATTACAGGTGACCTAATTCCACATTTTGCAATCCATATTGCAGCTCAATTCTTTAGGTCCGTTGGATTTGGATATACGTTCTTCTAGATATCATAGAAGATCGTCTCAAGTAATAGTTTTAGCAGCTTGAACTGCATGTTAGCCGGCAATCTGGATGCATTTCAGAATTGGTCCTTCGGGTTGGACAAGAAAGAAGTGGTGTCGACAGTTGAAGCTGAAAAAACTGCTTCCTTTTTCAGATTTTCAAGTTGGTGGTGGGGTCTAAGATTATGCCAAAAATAGACCCGAGAGACATCTTTAGAAGTTTCGGGGCAAACCAGGAGCGTGAGTTGGAAACTTGTGACTGGAATTGTATCTTTAGAAGTTTCGGGGCAAACCAGGAGCGTGAGTTGGAAACTTGTGACTGGAATTGTATCCTGGTTTAGTTGACTGGCGAGTGGGAAAGGGCGTTTGGAAGCCGAGAAAATTCTGGCATTTTTGTGTTTGCCTTTATTGAATTTTCCCCTGTTGTACAAAACATAGATGTGGGTAAGTTTGTTTGGGATTCCAATCCCAACTTTTGATAATTATGTTAAATTTCTGTTTGTTGTGTTTCAGAAGTTGCAAAACACAGAAATGACATGATCATTTGAGCTTCAAAGTCTTATGTTTGGTGGAGAAAGTAGATCCATTTGGTCTGTTGATCATAGGTGTGGGCATGGTGTAGGGTCATTTATGTTCATTTTGGGTTCGTGTCAGAATTATTTCACTACTAATTAATTCGTTTATTATTTTGTGTTACCGTTTCGTATTAATATATCATGTCAAAAATTTTCACTCTTAAAAATAGAAAGTATATAGAAAAATTATAAATTTTCTTCATCCATTAATGAATATTTTATGCCGAATGAAATTATTCATAAAAATACTTGTTTTGAAGTCAATTCTATTTTCTTAATTTACAAAAGTTAATATTCTTTTATTAAAGTCGACGGATGAAAGTTGAAATTGTGACATTATGACAGTCCAAAAATACATTTTTTAACCAAAGTTACTCTAAAATAGTAGACAAAAATTACGTTATCATCAACTAATTTTTTTATACAAGTCTTTAAATTTTATTTTACATACCTTTTAATAAGTTTGATCGATTTGGAAGTGGGATTCAAAAATGTAATGGTATGTCCAGTGCTGCTCAATTCTGTCGCTACTATTATTACCTTTTTGTAGATCAATCATCATCGGAAGTCAAAATTGAAGAAGAATATACCAACAATAGTAAGGAAGGATGATTGAAAAAATTACAGTAGAAATTGGGAGAGACTCTCATAACCCTATTTCAAAGCATAAAAAAATTTAGATCTACATTTTGAAAGTATTTTTACATCTTATCAAATGTCACAGGGAAATTACCGGCGTTCCGAAATTGCCAGAGCGAAAGCAGTGCCCATTTTTTATTTTATTTTTATCAAGTCTTTTGCTTTCATTTGTAACTTGGTGTAGTTGTGATTTATATTGCATTTGATCTCATTATAATTACTAATCGTTTGAAAAAAATTTATTTACAACTTATTTAACTGGAAAATTAAAATTCAGTGTTTTAAGCAGTGTTACATTTATTTTTTATTTTTTCCTTTTAACTTTATTGAGCTGACTAATGTTAAAGTGGGATCACTTATTTAATCATGTTTATTTTATTTTATTTTATTTTATTTTATTTTTATTTTATTTTATTTTCATCTAAAGTTCCACCTTTCTGCATTTGTAACTTTAACTTTAAATTTGATGAAAAAGTGTTAAAAAATTATCTTAAATTGTTTCATTAAATGTTCATCAAATCAAGGTAGAAATATTTTTTTTTCATCAAATTATAATTTGATAAACATTTAAAAACTGAAATATTTAAAATATTTTTTTTCACCAAATTTGTCGAAAAAATAAATTTGAGATAATAGGGTATTTTTTAAAAAGGTTTTGATGAAAATTTGATGAAGGAATTGAAGTAGTTTATATTAAATTAATTTTTTTAATTAAATTTAAAATTAAATTAAATAAAAAAATTGATAAAAAATTAGAGATGCTCTTAGTTAATTGTAATTTTTACGCACTTGAGTATGTGAGTAAATTTATACTTCTTGTTTATGTTGGGATTTCTTTTTGGTCAAATATAAAATGATAAATAAATTATAAATTGGATTTGTCTTCTTGGAAGTTGTAGGTGGGATTGGGTGTTTTGGATTATCGTACTGTTGGAAACTATAGTAACCGTTCGTTTGGAAATTGATTAATTTTAGTTGATTTTTTAATTTTTATCATAGGATGTATATATATATATATATATAAATTAATAACAATTACTATGTTTGTTTCCAGTTTTTTTAAAATACTTTTCAGAAAATTCTACTTTCTTATTTTTTTTATTTTTTTTTATTTCTACTGAATTTTTTTAATATTATAAGTAATTTTTTTTAATTTTTAAACACACATAACATAAATATACATAAAAAGTATAATTTTTGTGAAAAAAATCTTTTAAAAATTCACTAAATACCAAAAAAAATGAGAATTCAGTATATTTTTTGTATTTTTATGAATTGTTGTTCTAGATGAACTTGGGAGTGATAATTTTTTTTTAATTTTTAAACACACATAACATAAATATACTTGAAAAATATAATTTTCGTGAAATTGTTTTTAAAAAATTCACTAAATACCAAAAATATATTAATATTTTTGTATTTTTGGTATTTAGTAAATTTTTAAAAGATTTTTTCACAAATATTTTACTTTTTAGATACATCTAACTAATGTGCATCTAAAAAAGTAAAAAAAAAATGCTTAAAATTTTAAAAGTATTCATTAAAAACAAAAAAAATACGAAAAATAAAAAATTCAGTTTTCAAAAAATTGAATTCTGAAAAATTGAAACCAAATTTTTAAATCATCCCTAATGATATGATATTGAGATTAAAATTCACATGATAAAATGTTTGACAAATGAAAATTTAACATTTGTCAAATACATCATTAAGAATGATTTTTAAATATGATAAATTAAGTATTTCAAATATTTTTTAAAAAATAATATAATAATTTGTATCAACTTTTTTTATTATTTTAACCGCTTTCCAAATAAAGCCTAAAATATGATTCCAAGGATCTAAGGTGTGTTTGTTTTGACGGATTGGATAAGAGGAGATTATAATCTATCGGACTGTTAGTCTTGAGATACATTATCACCGGACTATTTGGTTGGATTGAATTTATATTCTATGTTTGTTTAGTTATGAGATTAGATATCTGGATTGGACTATTTGTAGTGAATCTAATGTTTGGTTAGATGAACTGGATAAGGATAAATATTCAAAAGACTATTTTACCCTTGTAATTTATAATTTTTATTTAATATATAATTTAAAATTTGTAATCTATAATTTATAATTTATAATTTAACAACACTAAATTTTTTTAATTTATAAGGCCATAATTTTTAATTCATTATTTTCAATTAAATTAAATTTATAATTTTTATTTTTTATTTAATATATAATTTTAAATTAACATCACTAAAAAAATAATTTTATTTAATATATAAATTTAAGTTTTTAACAACACTAAAAAAATTTAATTTATGAGGCCATAATTTTTAATTTATTATTTTTAATTAAATTTATAATTTATAATTTTTATTTAATATATAATTTTAAATTAACAACACTAAAAAAAAATTTATGAGTATTTAAAAGACTATTTTACATTTTTTCAATTGTTTATTAAGTAATAGCATAAGGATAAAATAGACATTTCACACATTAGTCTCATGGATACCAATTCCATAAAAATAATCTCACCCCTCCCCTTAGAATACAATAATCCTTCCTATGCAGGACTAATAGTCGCGAGAAACTATTAATTCAAAACAAAAAAATTGAACTAAATAATAAATTATTAATCCGAATAAATTAATAATCTAATCTCAAAAATAATCCCTCAAAATAAAGGCACTTTTTTAAGTGTCGCTACCTAATATCCGTGAAGGACTTTTCAAGGTTTGGTCGCTACCTAATATCCGTGAAGGACTTTTCAAGGTTTGGAGCAATGATTGAGTTATTTCAATATTCCATTTGGAGATGAAGATGGGCTGTCGCGTCGAAATTATAAAGGCGGCTTATAGTGCATGATATGGGTAGACAGAGAGAGTCTCCCTAATGTGTGGTGAGAAAGAAAGCAAGAGAAAGAGCACGAAAATAGGAGAAATTATATCTCAATCAAACAGATAAAAAAGATTATACAATAATGGAAGGAAGCAATTTTCACAAATCTTGAATTGTACTTCACCACACAAAGAGTTGCATCTCTCATATTTTACTATATATATATATATATATATTTTTCCCCTCTTATACCATGTATTGTTATTTCTCGAAGGTTTCATTTGATTAAAAAAAATAAAATAAAGTACAATGAAAGTGCCTCCAATCAAGAGAATTAACAACAATGATTCATCCCATTAAAAACATCATCACTAATAGCACTAATGTATTAAAAAAATAAAAAAAAATTACAACTCCAAGACCAAAACATCACATCATTCATGGCGGGACCCACTGCCACCTAATTAGTGGGAGCACTAATTAGTGCTCCCAAGCATTTTTCGAGAATTAAAGGACCAAAGTACACTGCTAATTAAAGTGAGCAACTCTAAGTTGGAGTGTCAAGGCACAACGTGATCCTGACACAGATCATGTGAGCTCGGGTGCACCTACAAATGTGAAATTTTGAAACTTTTGCAAAATATGAGATGCGTGAGAATTCGTATTTAATTATTTAAAAAAAAATAATAATTTTGTATTATAAGACATGAATAATAAATTAATTTTATCTAAAATCTATTTAAAATATATATTAATGTATAAATTAGTTTTAAATCAATTCAATTCAATCACTAAGAAAAAATATTGTTAGGAATAATAATTCTGTGGATATTTAATATTTATTGTTTATTATTTAATTTAACGATGATTCAATATAATAATTATCTTTACTAAATAAATAAAAAAAAGAAATTTGGTGGCAGTGTGGGTGATTAATCACC